CAGAACCCATCCTGAGCTAGTAGTTTCAGAGTGGGAACATGGGGCCATATGTCCTTTTTTAAAAACGATGATTTGTATAATGTGCTACAACTTTATAAATCCACCCAGAAACTTACATGCCCACTCAATCCGACGAGGTAGGTTTTATTATCTTCAGTTTTTTGATTAGGAAACAGGCTCAGTGAGTCTAAACGATTTGTCTAAGGGCACCAGGAAATAGTGGCTAGAATCAAACTCAATTCTTCCAAGTCCAAATCTAGTACTCTTTCTGTTCTTTCTACTGATTAGTATTTTTATCATTCCATTTTGAAATAATTTCAGACTTATAGAAAAGTTTCAAAAAAATACTTTCCACAAGCCCTTTACCTATATTTGCCAAATGTTAATATTTTACCATGTTGATCATCCTTTCTTCTGTCCTTCTGTACATATGAATTTAATTATTTGTAATTAATATTTAACAGTATATTATAGATATAATTCCCCTTTATCTCTCAATACTTCAGTGTATATTTCCTAAAAACACTGATATTATCTGCAGTCACCACAGAAAGTGATTATGAATCAAGAAGTTAACATTAATACAATACTATTACCAATGTACAGACCTTCATTTTTTACCCACAAATGTCTTCTGTGGCAAAAGAAAAAAAATTGTTTCTGGTTCAGGATCCAATCAGGGATCACATATTGCATTTGGTTCTCACATCTGTTTACTATCTTAGTCTTCAAAGTTTTCTTAGTCTGCCTCTGCTGTTCATGACTTGAATAATTATGTATGCTATCATCTGATAAGCAGGAATTGACAGTTCTGGCTGTCAGCACTTGATGGAGTTATTCAGAAATACTTGGGTTCAGTGACATACAGCAGGATGGGCCATAACATTAGGAGAATATTTGGAAAACAATAATAATGATATTTATTATGCAATATTTATGGTGGACACTATTTTAAATGTCTTCCATGTAACTCCTCATTTAAACTTCACAACCAACCTACATAGTAGGTATTGTTACATTATAGATGTGGAACCTGAGGAACAAAGATGTTAAGTAACTTGCTCAAGGTTGTCTGGCCAGGAGACGGCAGGGCTAGAAGTCAAATTCCAACAGCCAGGCTGCAGCCCTAGTGTGAGCTCTGAACCAGCACAGGCTAAACCAGAGACACCTAACAGAGTTCTATGTCTTTAGGCAAGTTATTAGCTCAAAAAACTTGAGTCTCATGAACTGAAAATGGGACTAATAATACCAGCTTCATAAAGGTGGTCGTAAGGATTACACACAATAATCTGTTAAAGCATTTGGTATGGAGCAAGAACTTCATTTTTTAAGAGTAAAATTTAAAATATAAATATGGAAAAATTGACCGATAAGCATATCTGAAGAAGATACTGTGTGACTAAGTTCACACTGAGATGAGAAAACTCTCAGAGAATACCTTTGTAATCATTGTGGTAGGGAGGAGAAGGGAACAGAAGCAATTAATCATTAATCATTACAGGTAGGGAGGAGAAGGGAACAGAAGCAACAAACATCGGTTCATATTTTGAGACACTGGAGAGATACTGGTTACAACCAAAACCTTCTTTAAGGCAAAAGAGGCTAGATAATGATGAGTCATGAAACACAATTTTATGATGAATTTATGGAAAGTTATAGCCTTTAGTTATATTGGCAAAGAAGGTAAATATTTTCCATAAAGAGAAAAGTCAGCACCACTTCCAGCTTTTAAAAGGGAATTGTTCTCCTTAATGGGTAGCAGTCAGAGGAATCAAGAAGTTTTTATCTTTTTAGTTTTTAATTTCATATATACATATCTATATATATTTTAGAGACTGGGTTTTGCTCTCGCCCAGGCTGGAGTGCACTGGCATGATCTTAGCTCACTACATCCTTGACTTCCCAGGCTCAAGTGATCCCCTCACCTCAGCCTCCCAAGCAGCTGGGACTACAGGTATGCACCACCACACCCAGCTAATTTTTTTTGTTGTTAATTTTTTTGTAGAGACAGAGTCTTTCTATGTTGCCCAGGTTAGTTTCGAACTCCTGGGCTCAAGTGATCCTCCTGCCTTGGCCTCCCAAAATGCTGGGATTATAGGTGTGAGCCACTGCACCTGGCCTTGAGGTTTTTAAAAGAGAATTCTGAGGACATTGGGTTTCCAGAATTAGAAAAATGTATAGTCATTTTAATGTGACATTTTCATTTAGTCTTATTTATTTATTTATTTATGAGGAGTCCTACTCTGTCACCAGGCTGGAGTATAGTGGTGCAATCTCGGCTCACTACAACCTCCATCCCCCGGGTTCAAGTAATTCTCCTGCCTCAGCCTCCATAGTAGCTGGGATTACAAGCGTGCAGTACCATGCCCAGCTATTTTTTGTATTTTTAGTAGAAACGAGGTTTTGCCATGTTGGCCAGGCTGGTCTCAAACTCCTGACCTCAGGTAATCCACCCACCTAGGCCTCCCAAAGTGCTGGGATTACAGGCATGAGCCACCGCACCTGGCTCATTTAGTCTTAAAACATTTCAAATATGTCAACTAAACCTATGGAGAAGATAAGCATATCTGAAGAAGATACTGTTATGACTAAGTTCAACTTAATTTTTTAAATAGACTATAAATAGATTTGTGGGGGGTACATCTGCAGCCCAAGGGCTTTTGGGGCTCTGTAGCTACAACAATAGGCAAGGATGGATTTGTCATCTCCTTTCTATCAAGGTTTGAATGTTTCCTCTGAGTCCTTCCGCCCAGAGAACCCTAGACTTCTTTCAGTTACCACGTCTTTCCTCACTGTTGTCCACTTCTGAGCTCCATAGTTTGGGAGCTGAAAGTAAGTAGTGCCTTGGAGAGGGAAGACAAAGAGGGAAAGGGAGCCCAGCAAAGGTTCATTCAAAGCTCACAAGTGCATCCCCCGCTGGTAGCTGCCTCTTGCCATCCCCACAGCATAAGCCCTCTCCTCTTCACCCCTGCCCAAAGCTGCAGAGCACCATCCCAGGGCCTCTGTTCCATGCCTGCTGAGTCTGCCAGCTCACACTTTCCATAATCTGCCTCACCCTGCACCTTCCCCAACCTGCCCAACTCTCAACCATCAATCTGTTCATTGCTTATTTTAAAAGCAGCCTTTTCAACTACATTTTTCATTCAGCCATTAGGACAACCATGCGAAAGCAACCCCACAGTAGAGGCCCTTGGCTTTAAGCAGAACTGGTGCAGAATAAAAATGTCGGGCCTCGTTTTCAAAATTCATTAAGAATTTCAAGACAGCAACAGCAGAGCATTAAACCAAGCACAAGGCTCTTCTAGGCATGTGGGCCCGTGCACAGACTGCAGGCCCATGAAGCCAGCAGTGGCTGTAAGGGGCCCAAGTGAGTTGAAAGTTGGTCATCTACTAAATACACTGATATATTTAAAATTCAATATCATATTATTGGAACACTAACAAAATTGTACTTCAATCAAACTGACTATATTTTATCCGAAAATCTAGTATAATAACACAGGCACACATATTTTAATTTGGTGCTGGAATGCCACAACTGTGCGATAGATTCTCTAAGTGTTCAAGCACATCTGTACCCTTATTTAAAACAAAATATAACTCCACAGGCATTTCTGATACTCAACCAACATTAAAAACCATTGGAAAATTAGATGCCTGCATTCCACCTCTAAAGTGTCTGATACACTAATGAAAGAATAACAAGTTTCACAAAGCTATTGGGAAGGAAATGAGATTTATGTGTGAAATTAGACTATGCACTATAAATTAGTAAATAAATGTAAGCTATTGTTCTTAAATTTCACAGTGATAAAGACAGAACGAGCCTTCAATTTAATCTTATAGGTAGTCAAGTGTCATTACCCATTGGATATGGGTATGTTAAATGAATGGCAGAAGAAGGAGGGGAAGTGGTATCGATGAGAATAGTTTAGACCATGTAAGACGTTTAGAAGTACAAAAGTAAAAATTTCATGAGGACCTAGTGTGTTTGGACACTCCCCGCTGACCCTCTACCCCTACCCCACCCCACGAGTTCATAGTGATATGAGTTCATAGTCAGAGTCAGTGACATAGTAGGTGGCTCAGAAGAAATTTGCAAATGAAAGAAAAGAAAGGCCTGCTCTAGGCAAAGGTTTCAAAGGTTTATGGTAGGCATGGACTTCCCCATCTATTATGTTTCATTTTCTGCAGTATAACCTGAGTTGTATTATACTATTATACTATTCTCTTGCTGTCTAGAGGCTCCAAAGCAGACTCATCAGAATCTCCCATGGCCTAATCTTTACCTGCTGGTTATTTCAGAACCCCAGCTCCTTATCAAAAGGAAAGGATCTCCTATTCCTGCAGGACTGTTCCACACTCCTTGAAGCACTTAAACCAAAAGACAGACCAAGTAATGACTATATCAGGCACCACTGTGGCTGGCTGAGTTTTAAATTAATCTGTGTCACCTCCTACCTGGTCTGTATAGGGTCAACACTAAGGGGGAATATATGTGTCTCCTTGGAAAAGATAGCCCTATAGGTCGCCTATGATTTTGTGAAATCCAAGTTTTTTAAAGGCTTTGTGATAAAGCTAGCTACAGGCAGTGTGTTACAGCTTTATTACAATATGGGCATTCTCTTAGGGTCTAGGATCCCTTTGTGACTACATGAAAGAGCTGAATTCTGTAGTCAATAAGAGTCAACACCTTAGTAAGATAATCCCTCAGAAAGGGCTGATGCTGAAAGTCCCTCAGAGAAAATAAGAATTAAAGCTGGAACCAAGATACCCGCCTTGTTTCACCCCTCTTTGTTTCACATGACTAGGGCATGGGAGCTAATTGGAACCATCATTTGGAAGAGTAACAGGCTTATCTATTTCTTGATCATCTTTCCCAGTGTAGAGCCCAGGGGACTACAGATAACATGTCTGGTTAACATTAAGCCCCTCTTAAAGAAAAAAGGAGAAAGTCATGTTTTCTCAGTTGAATTAGAAACCAAGATCACTTTACTCACTCAATTAAAACTGCTCTTGACTGTTCCTTGGATAGTTTCCCTCTGTATTCACAAGGTCCCTTAGTCCTAGATTTTCAAGGTAATGTCATTTGGTTCTCCTCTGTGAAGCCAAATATACATAGATATCAAAGTGTTACTAATCCTTTAAGAAGCCAGGAGTTTAAGCTATTACTGAGCTTTGAAAGATTCTGATAATGGAACTTTTGTTTCTGATCACTGATAATGTTTTTAATTTGGAGTTGGCGCAGTTCCCTCTGGTATTAGGTGCAGCAGGAGCAGACAGGGCATGCTACGGTTCTAAAGTAGATAGGTTCTGGGTAATGCTGCTTTTGGTTGGGTTTTTTGGTTTTGTTTTTGTTTCTCGAGACGGTCTCACTCTGTTGCCCAGGCTTACCGAAGCCTTGAACCTCCTGGACTGGAGCTGTCCTCCCACCTCAGACCTCCAAGGAGCTGAGATCACAGGCATGTACCACCATGCCCGGCTAGTTGTTTTGTTTATTTGTTTGTTTTGTAGAGACTGGGACTCCTTATGTTGTCTAGGCTGATCTTGAACTCCTGGGCTCAAGTGATCCTCCAACCTCAGACTCTCAAAGTGCTAGGATTACAGCCATGAACCACTGTGCCTGGTCTAAAATGCTATACTCTCAAGCAGAGTCCTAAATTTTAGTCAACCATTTCTCACTTCCATGCTTTTTATCATATTTACCACCTGAAATTTTACTATTTTTCTTTAAATCCATTCAGTGCTGTACTTGAATAAATTTATTTTACTGCTATAAATAGAAAACTAGTTGTTTTAAACTATTGTTAACTGAAGGTAATAAAATACAATGAAAACCAGTTTAAAAATTCTAGCTAGGTAACATCTCATGGCAAAGCTTCTGCCCAAGGGGGCTTTATTTGCAAGGAAAATTAACCAGAGTTGAGGACAAACTAACTCGGTGTTTCAGTTTTCCTTCTGAGAATATGAAGGGTTGAAAAGAGAATCCTTTTTCTGTCTTCAGTAACTAAATGCTTTTCATTCCAAGCAGCAGTCAGCCTACCTTTGAAAAACTCAATCTCTTTATATTCTGTGTAAGGAACTAAGTATTTGACAGGACTCATGTGAAAACCCATTTCTTGAATGTAAGAACACCCCAAGGGAGATAGATGGCATTGTCCCTACACCCATGAAGTATGTCATCTACTAAGGGTCAGAATAAACTGATTACAAAGAAATAATAAATGTATTGAAGAGTATGAGAAATATGCAAATGCTTAACAGTAGAACGTGAGCAGCAGAGGAAAAAAGATGGAGTTTTGTCTGTTTTGCTCACTGATGGATCTATCCCTAGCTGTCAGAAGAGTGCTTGGCATATGGTAGGTATCTGTTGAGCCTAAGAACACAAACCACATACCCCAGTCGCATAGTGGTGACATAATGTGAAAGATCAGGAGTGGGAAATAGGTTGGCACAATCTGGAGAAATTAAGAGAAGCAAGATTTGGAGAGAATCTTGGAGAAAGTGATAGGCAGACACACACAATGGCTTAGAACAGAAGGTACACAAGACATACAAAAACAGGTTAAGTAGGTCTCACCAAGATCATGCCCTTATAGCAGCCTTAAAAATGCAAACTCCCCTCCAATTTGAATGAATGCTCCCCTTTCCTCAGACCTAAGGCCCCATTCCCCTTATTCACAAGCATCACAAATTTAAATATCACATACACCTTACAAAATGAGCTGACGTTTCTGCAAGACAAACTTCTATTTCCATAAATGTGGGTTCGTTTTTGAGAAACCCAGTTTCATGTAGGTATGTTTGAGGATTTTTCTGTGTTACTTCAACTACTGAAGTCTCCTAAAGACTTCAACTATTCAAGTTAAGCAGTTGTGCCATTTTTCATAGTTCCCTTGCTATTTTTTTGTTGAGTCATTGTTCCTCTGGTACTAATTTCGCATCGCACAATTTGTTGCTCTAAAAATAGCAAACAAGAGAAGCAGGTTCGTGTGATTATAAATATGGAGCAATAGGTGGGAACTGAAGCCGCTTCTGGTATTTCTCACCAAAATGGCCATGGCCTCCGGGTCTGTCTCTCTGCAAGAGGGCTGCACCCCTGAAGACACAGTGCCGCCTCAGGGATGTGTCTGAACTCCTGAGCCAAGCTCCTCTGCCTGCACAGGCTTTGTGAAAGGTTTCCATTTCAGAAATACAATGCCCTGATTTTAGTGTGGGTATTTCCCAAGTCGGTTAAGTGATACTAAATCTTCAATTAATTATAGCTGGAAAATGGTTTTTGGAAAGCTGACTTTTATCTTCTTTCACACTAAGGCTAATTTTTAAATACAGCTAAACAAGGACTTAGGCCAAATCCTGAACCAAAAAGCAAGGTATGAACCTTAATTTACTGAACCTCAAACCTAACCTCATTTTTTAAAAACTGAAGTGTTAACTTTTTTTTTTTTTTAAACACATATGTCTAGTGAAGCAATAGCAGAAACCAACATGTCATGTTTTCTAAACTGAGTGAAGTAGCCCTGCAAGGTATTTTTAAAATGGAACTTCAAACTGGAGCTTCATGGATTCTCTGTCTCTGATTAACTTGGTGTCTTTGGGAAGCGGTGTGCCTTGGTGTGCCAGTGTCTGGAGTCCTCACCAACCTCTTGGACTCTGTTAAGTGGAAAAGACCAAAATTTGTCTGAACTAAAGAAATTATGTGTTTGTCTGTTTCAGGTTCAATACTTCTTCAAGATCTTGGATAATTAGTGGTGTGGAAAGTAAAGAAGTCACAGGTTGGGACATTTAGACAAGAGTGAATCACACACATGAGGAATGTGTTCATTCTTTTATTGTCCATTGTTTTAACCTGACTGAATACAAGATCAACAAGAGCACTGTACTCCTGGCAATTATTACATATGTTAGAACATGGATTTTGCACTGTAGACAACATTTAACACCAGTCTATGGGGTACTGCATTGCTTTTTATAAAGTTCAAAATAAAGATTTATTTTCAAACAAGTGACTTTGGTTTATTTCATACATTACACTTTTTCTTGCAGAAAAAAATAAAATTGTACAACTGCATAAATATAAAATTCTTCCACCATGAAAATGGTTAAAACATTCATAAAGACACAGCACCAGCATGTGATGCCTCCAGAAAGGAAAAAAGGAAAGTAAAAGAAAATGTATAAAGCAAATTAATTAGCCCCGTCACTAGCCAAAGTGATGGGCAGATCCAGATCTCAGACACAGCTTTAGAACATACTGGAGGACGAGGGAAGAGATGTCAAGACAGCATTCAATACAAGCACAACACAACCCATCACCTTTTTGTGTTTTTCTGTAGTGTCACTTAAAATTTAAAGGGCAGTTCCCCCATGACAACCCCCCACCCAGCCCACAGGAAAAAAAATAATAATAAAGACCTAACACCACAGGAAAAGACTATGGAGTATGTTAAAAATGCTCATTGATGGGCCATTATCTTTGAAAGAGCCAAAAAAAAAAAAAAAGAAAAGAAAAAAAAGAAAAAAGTACCATGCCAGTTTTATTCCCGTTGAATATTTACACCTTGGACAGCAAACCTTGCTCACATAAAGTAGAAAACAGATACGATAAAACATGGCTTGAAAAATGACCAGAGTATGCACCTGTAGTACTGTACACTAAATAAAATACACAAGGCAGCAATACTTAGGGGCCAGAAACACTGCTTACTACAAGTCAGTTATGGAATCATAATTTACAGTAAAAATGGGCACGTCCCAAGGCTCAATTTTTCTTTTTCTTTTGTCATTTACAGTAGAATAAATATTTTGTTGCTATTGCTACACTTTAATTTACATTCTAACCTATTAAATGCAGAAAGCTAGTGTAAAGCATATAGATTAAGTGTAGGTCCCATACGTATGACAGTTTGTTCAAGACTAGTAGGTTTTTGTTTTTGTATCTTTTTTTAACTTATTAAATGGCTAGTGGGAAAGATTTGTGCTTGTGATCAGCTCTTAACTTCAATTTTTACATCAAAACGTCCCTGAAAACGGTCTTTCTCACTGTACCCAATGTTCTCACCGTACGCCTTACACTCTATGCGAATTTCAGTGTCCATGGTAAGATTGGTGAACTGTACGGCCAGCAGGGGCTGCAGGTATTTGGGCTGCAGGAGTTTGCCATAGTAGGGATAATACTGCAGAGGAAAACCAGGGCTGTTGCCCAGTCCAAAATATTCCACATTTCCAATTTTTTCTTTATCTTCATCTCTCTGAAATCCAGAATGAAATGCAATTTTAATGGCTCACATCATGCATCACTATGTGTACTCAAAAACAAGAACTCAATCTACACAGTAGTTTGCAAACTACTGAGAGAGGAAAGAACATCTACTCAGTCTATTCCACTGCAGCCTTGAGAAATGGTCATAAGAGGAGACTATTCTCAATGTGCAAATGGATGGGGAAGCTGAGTCAAAGGCCAAATAAGCATTTCTTGAAGCCAACACAGCCTCCTAGAAACAAGGCCAACATTGAAAGTCAGAAACACCTTGCTGTTGGCCCAGCAGATGATATTTCCAGTGATATTATCTACAAAGTTTACTACTTGCCTCTCATTTTCTTGTTGAGAAATCAATCTCCATTACCCTTCTTAGTGCTAGCACTGTCTGGGGACTCCCTTTCTTTGTTCTGCCTTTCTCTCTAAACTGTCCATTAGTTTTTGGATCTAAAGGAAATATACACTAATTGTTACCTTAGTCTTTCAATTTTTTTGGTTTTTTTTTGAGACGAAGTCCCCAGACTGGAGTGCAATGACGTGATCTCTGCTCACTGCAACCTCCGCTTCCCAGGTTCAAGCAATTCTCCTGCCTCAGGCTCCCAGGTAGCTGGGACTACAGGTGCACGCCGCCACGCCCAGCTAATTTTTGTATGTTTAGTAGAGACAGGGTTTCACAATGTTGGCCAGGCTGGTCTTAAACTCCTGACCTCATTATCTGCCCATCTCGGCCTCCCAAAGAGCTGGGATTACAGGTGTGAGCCACTGCACCCAGTGATATTTCAATATTTTAAAAAGAGAAGCCCAAATCACAAATTTTTATGTGACATTAATTTTTTTAATGTTGGCCCCAAATTTTTAATACATGCTATGGGCCAGAAAGAAGTACTTTTGTGGGCTAATTCACCTCTCAGTTCTGTAAGCAAATATCCCAATGTATTAAATTCAGATATTTGAGTTTCTTGTGCCAATGGAGAAACTGACGTCAGTCTTATTCTGATTACATCTTTCTGTTCTTTTAAAAAGTTTTACCGAGTATAGCTACAATTCATCTCACTGAAGCTTATACCTGAAAGCAATATTTCTTATTTCTTCTATTAAAATTTTACCTGTCACTTAAACAGTCTCCTTCATTCTCCCCTCTTCCCCTGCCTGCCCTTCCACTACCCCAGTAACCCTAAATTTGTCTTTACCTTGCCAG